GGGATGGAGGAGCCCGACAGAATTCTCAGGAAGGGCTAAACCCGGGCCTTGAGGCTCTAATGCTCAAGGCCTGTGGAAAGGGGAGGCAAAGGCTGATTTTACAAACATCAAAGCCTTCCGAGGGCCCTTCATGAGGCTTTTGATGGGAGAGAACTAGCAGAATAAAAACCTGCTCCATGTCTGGGCAGGGTCCCAACAGGTGCGGCTCCCTCTTGTCTCCAGTTTGAATTAGGCGACATGCATTCCAAAAGTGACACTTTCTTGTTCTAATCTTAGTATCTCCACAACCCACATTCAGTCCACTGGCTGGGAGAAAGGTGTGGTCCCTGTGGTTAGCAGGAGTGGCCGGGCTGCTCGGCTGGAGCTCCACGCAGTATGGACCCTGCAGAGAAAGGGCTATAGGGTTTGGGATGTCACTGACAACCAAGTCACTAGCTGAAGCTGCTCCAGTGGCATGTGTCCCCTGCAAGGGCTCAGGGTCTCTCCTTGTGCCCTTGATTTACTGAGTTCTAGAGGCACAATTGAGAAAAGGGGAAATCATCCCTATGTGCTCAGAGTTCGTGACCTACTATTTCGGTGTGCACCCCAGTGTTTATTAGTGTGCCCCCTTTCTCAGTCACACATACACAGCCCCACGTCCCCACACATCCTGGCATCTCCACTGGGTAACCAGGCCTGGCATGGACTGAGAGTGTTAGCATGGCCAAAGACAGACTCTGGTTAGAATCACTCGGCTGTGAGCAGACTTCCCTGTCACAAGACTCTTCATCTGTACAATTAGGATTAAAACGAGGTGGTCTGAGAATTCCCTGCCCAGACAGGTGTTCTTGGCACAGGCTCAAAAAATGTTAACAGAACGCCTTTTGTCAGCCTGGCACTTTCCAATTCACCACATTTCTACTCTTCTGCCCAGCCCCTGGGAAAGTGTCTGTGGCCTGCTCGCCCCGGGACCCCATCAGTGACCCCAAGTCAGTGACCCTGGAGGCTTTGTCAGGCAAGGGCCTTAAAATGGGAATCCAGGTCCTCCAAGGAAAGTTCTTTCTCCTCGAACAGCATGGCAGCGGTTTGCTTTTCCTCCTACACAGCGAAGGTGAGCCCGGCCACCCTTCAGAGCTGCCCCCTCACAGAGAGAGCCAGAGCCTGGCCCTGCGCTTGGCCAGCCTGGGGACATGGGGCTGCTTTCTCAGCGCCCAGACCTCGGAGAATGTGGCCTTTCTCCAGGAAGCCACGCCTGGTGTGCTCATGGCCCAGGGACGAGCCACAGACAGTGACCTGACCCCACATCTCCTGAGGAGTGCTGTTCCCACTCAGGGGGTCCTGCCTCGGGTTCCCAACTTCTCTCTAATAAATAAAATGTATGTAAATAAAACTGTGGGGAGCATCCCTCTCCCTTCTCTTGTAGGATTTAGTTTCTACAAGGGTGTTGGAACCACCCTCACGTGAACAATTGCAAACACAGGGCTTGTTCTGGGGGTCCTTACGTTTGTCACAGCCTGAGAAAAGCCCAGCTCCGAGGGGGCTCCTTCCCTGGCCTCAGAGAGAGGCCAAGGTCAAAACGTGTCACAGATAGGTGCTCTGGGGGCTAATATGTCAAGGCACCATCCGGGCTCATGTCCCACCCAGGCCTCCCCCAACATGCCCACTGGCTTTGGAGCTCAGCCTGTGAAGGTCATACTGCATCTCCCCCGCCCCAGCTGCACAGAGTCTTCACGCCTCCACTGCTCGGAACCAGGTCCTCCCGGGCCTGGCCAGGACCTGAGGGCCCCCCCACCGTACAACAGTTGTGGTGTTGGGGCTCCAGATCTGTGCCAGGCGAGGACAAGAACAAGGTGAGTTGGCTTCCAGGCTCCACCAGGAGGGGGAGTACAGGTCCACACACATGTCAGCTCCCCAGGCTTCTGACTCCAGGATCTAGGATCCAGGATCCAGGATCTGACCCTTCCCAAAGGACTTCATCTTTTCTAAGTGAGCCTAGCCTCTACTTCTATTACCCCCTTAGCAAGCACAAAGGCCAGGCTACAAACTCGGCACCCTCCCTGGAAGGCTTGGGGAGGGTGGGTGCACAGAGTGCCCATGCATTGAAATCACTACCCTGGTCACGGATGCTGTGCCCCACATTCTCCTTGTCCACCTGGGCGTGATTCACGGGAACTCAATGAGGGGACATTTGAGATGGAATGACACTCAAGCATGCCAACACCTGTCTCACTGGTGTATAGTCAGACTTCAAACATACAAACAACAAAATCTAAAAGGATGTGACTTCCACTCGTTCCTGTACCCAATGCACCAGGGTGAATTACCACTCCAAATGGCATTTTGCTTTAGAAATGATCGCCTCTCTCCTCAAGGGCTGAATCGCGCCCAGATGAGGGCACTTGGCTCAGGAGGATGGCCCCTTAGGCCAAGCTGTTGTCTCAACCTGAGTCACAGATGTCCCGGTGTGGTGGGTATATGCAGAGATCCTCCCACTGCACCCGGGTCGTTGGTGCTCCGCTTCATCCTTGGTATGAACACTTTTAGGGGCTACATCCCTCATAAAGGCAGCTCATTCTATTTGTGGACAGTTTTGTTAATTTTCTCTCTTTCTTTTTTTTTTTTAAGTCAAATATCTGTGTCCCTAAAACTTCCGCTCACAGGTTCTACTTCTGTCCTCTTGAGTTATAGAAAATCAATCCTACCTACTTCCCCAGGCAGTGCGTTTAATCTCCCCGGGGTGCCGGCGCAGTCCCTCCCAGCCTTCACCCAGGCGGCTCAGGCTCTCCCGCGGCCCCAGGCCGGATCCCCAGCCGGAAGGGAGCGCTCCAGGGAGCGCAGGCTCCTTTCTTCAACTTGGACTTGCCCTACAGTCTCTGCCAGGGTGGCTGTTACAAGCTAATTAACAGTACAAGCTTTCGGAAGGGACAGAACGGAAGCAGATGGTGTTGCTGACTTGGGGGTCCGGCTCAGAGTGCGAGGCCTGGGAGGGGTCTGGGGCCAGGGCCGGCGAGGCGTGGGCGAGGAGGGGGCTTCGGGCGGGGGCGGGGGAGGGCGGCCTGGGGCAGGCGGCCGGGCCTCTTGGGGGGTCTGAGCTGCCAGTGCAGGAAGGGTATCTCTAGGATCCCTCCCAGGGCGACTTCTAAACCTTTGGGGGCGGGGGGCGAGAAGATCCCCGGCCAGGCTCCTAGGTCCTGGAGCCCGGAGTGCCTCTGACTGTGCTGGAAACCCCAGCTCCGCCTTTGGAGTGTGTGTGCTAATGTAGGCGTGTGAGTGCATGCCGTGTGCGTGTGTGCGTGCGTGCGTGCTGTGTGCACATGTACACGTGTGCATGGTGTGTGCGTGTGCATGCTGTTTGCACGGATGGGTGTCCCTGCTGTGTGCCTGTGTGCACCTGCGTTGTTAAGGGAACGACCTGAAACTGCTCAAGAGTTCATGTGAGAAGGGGGGGGCAGGGAGAGCCCAAAGAAGGTCTATTATTTTCATTACAACATTATTTAAATATGTACAAACATAAAATCAGATATGAACCCTTTATCTGATTGCTTCCATACAACTATTTTTTCAAATTTACACAACATATAAACAAAACTGGAAACAGCCACTGAATTCGAGTTAACAGCATCAATTTCATGTAGATGATGCTTGCTGAAGTTAAACTGTGGCTTGCAGCAAGATTCTGACCTGCCTTATGAGAACTCTGGGTTTGCTCGGATCACTGCCAAGCTTCCCTTCACAGGACACTGTCCCACCATCTGCCAGCACCTACCACAACACCTTCACATAGAAAGTGCTCAATAAATATTTGTTAATTAATAGCATAAATAAATCAAGGAATTGGAAGTCCCCCTCTACTCTTTTCTTGGGAGAATTATTTGGCACACCCCAATAATAAGCACAAAAAATACACAGAAGACTGAAGTGCCCATATGATGCATAACATGATCATCTAAATAAAATACAATATAAAACTTCTCAGAGTGAGAATTCGATGCCCACTCAGAAGCTCTGCTTTAGTGGAAACTACAGTGTGAGGTCCTACACCCAAAGACCAGCCTTCTCCCCTCCACCTGGCTGCCCACCTCCCATTCTGCCTGACTCAGGGCACAGCCTCCCTGAGCATCATTTTGAATCTGTATTGTTAGAATAAAATATCCACTGACTCTGAATCAGATCTCAGGCTGATTGCAAGGGTGAAACTTCACGAAGAATGTGAGAATGTTTTTTTAAAGTAATGGGAGCTATTCAGTCACAAACGACTCAGGTTTGTAAATTCCCCATCTTGCTGGAGAGTGAATTTAAGAAGAAAGAAAGACAGGGGCGCCTGGGTGGCTCAGTTGGTTAAGGTTAAACATCAGCCTTAGGCTCAGGTCGTGATCCCAGGGTCCTGGGATCAAGCCCCGCATTGGGCAGGGAGCCTGCTTCTCCCTTTCCCTCTGCCTCTCTTTCTCTCAAATGAATAAATAAAATCTTTTAAAAATAAAATAAAATAAAATGTCTAATGCACCTGACAAGCTGGGAACTGAAATAAGAAGACTGGTCAAGCCTTAATGGGCAGTCTGTAGGGCTTGAGCTAGAAAAGCAGTGTGAAAACTGCATCACACTTTGTATATTCACTGTAATGCACAACTGGAATGGAAGTCTTTAAAATTTTGGAAACGAAAACCATTTAAAAACATCTAAAAGAGAGATTTGGAAATTATAAATTATAGTCTAGGAGAAGTGCCAATACTTCTTTTGATTGTATCAGAAAGAACAGTTTCAGTTATTAAAAATGACAGATTAATTCCATAAACTGTAAAAGTGACCAACTATTTAAAATAAACTGAGCTTGAAGGAGAAGGCACACTTGAAATGAAGGTACAGGAAACACCATCTGTCGATATACACAATGAACATCAACTCCAGGAGAAAACTATTTTTTCCCATTGATTATGTCTAACCAATCACATTACAATGCACTTGCGGCTTGATGACAAAAGTGAAAAAACAGAACAATGTTTTACACTATTTCATGTTATTGAATTATGTTCCATGCCTTGAAAATGAACAAAAATCAACAAGATGAAGCCACTTACTAAATAATGGCATTCTAATAACATGTTTTCATGGCTTGGTTAACGACAGAGATATTGTATAAAATCTTAGGCAGTGTTAGAGAAGTCTAGAAGTCCTTTGAATGGAATTACTGTTGGTTTTGTAGAACTCGTGAATACCAAGAGCAATACCATTGATGTGAAGAGGAGTCTCCATACAAGTCACCCAATGTCTATCGATGTCATTCCCTGTGTCAGACCATGGCTCAGACAATGGCATCTTTTAGCTAGCAGCCACCAAGTCATACAGGGAGATCACATGAACATTTCCTAAAAATCAAAAAGTGATTGAAAATTACTAAAACGACAACAAATTATGCTACAAATTATATCACATGATTGGGAGTTTTATAATATATAGTTTTGTTTAGGAATAAAAAGAAAACATTTTGTATTTTGTATTTTATTTTATTTTGTTTATTTTATTTTATTTTATTATTTTTGAGAGAGAGAGTGTGTGCATGCGCATGAGGGAGGGAGGGGCAGAGGGAGATTTTAAGCAGACTCTGTGCTAAGCTTAGAGCCAGACTTGGGGCTCAATCTCATGACCCTGAGATCATGACCTGAGCCGAAATCAAGAGACGGACGCTTAACCTACTGAGCCCCCGAGGTGCCCCTCATTTTGTATTTTGATTGATTGATTCAAGTTTTATGGTACTAGTTCTTGCCATTTTTTAATATCACCCTGTGTTTGCCAGACATAGATGTTTTCTTGAAGACTCCTACAATATGTAGGTGCTAGTTCCAAGTTCTGCTATTTTGCAAACTGTGGTGGCCTTGGGGGAGTTAACTGATACTGCTAAGATTTAATTTCTTCATCTGTAAAATGGATATAATGTTATTTTTCCTTCCCAAGAGCAATGTTATGAGTTGAATAAGATAATCGCTGTTAAAACAGGCCGAAAATATTAATATAAACACAAACAATAAAGTTCTATTAAATAATGGCAGGAATACACATAGTTCCTGAGAGCTGGAAAAAAATAACAAAAATTATAACAAAAATATCTAAGGCAGGTCACAAATGAGAAAAACAGTTTATAAAAACAGACACTCAGATGAACTCAATTTATCAGACATGAGCAACAATTTCCTCACTGCTCCTCTCAAAGCAGACTTGTCTCTTAAGCTCCTGGGGAGACGAGTTATTTTCCTCCCTGCTGGTACATAGGGTGTTGCTGGGTGCTGGAGTCCCATGATGGCAGGTTTGGTATAGTCACACCAAGCCTGCAGTGTGCGCACCTGGCCTGCCCTGGGCACTCGCAGGGTGGTCAAGATGAGAACGTGGCTGGGTAGCTCCTGCTCCTTCGGCAGGGCCCGGGGTACTGACCCTGCCCCACAGCCTGCAGCTATACACGGATGACCTGCAGCCCCAAGCAGAGCTGCCAGCCAAGTGGCAGGGGGTGGGGGGGCAAGAAAAGAAAAGAAATGCCCATTGTTCAAGCCACTGTGTTTTGGTGGTTGGTTGAGCAGGATCTTTCAGCAACAGCAAAGGCAACCCCCAGATGCCAGAGTCTGGTGCTCAGCTCGGTTGTCTTGACTACGCGTTTCTGCGGCAGGGGCCCCTTCTCTCGGCACTGCATCCCTTCCTGCTCTTCAGGTGAGACAAACAGACCCTTCTTTGAGGAACAGCTGGTATTCAGCTCTCCAGTGTCTGGATGGAGCTGCCAAACACAAAGCCACGCATGTGGTCCAAGTGGCATCCGTGGTCCCTGCCACCTAAAAAGCCCAAGAGACCAACACAGAGACCAAACCTCATAGAAACGAGAGGGAGAGCACAGAGGCAGTGGGATCGGACCCTCTCTGCTCCCGTGGCCGCCCATGACTGTGTCCCCCAGTTCATTCTCTGAGTTGCCATTGCAGGCAGGGTTCAAAGCAGGAAGAACAGCCACTCTGGACAGCTCCAGCACGGAAGGGTCTGGCAAAGGGAATTCGGTGCTCACGTCCTTGGGAGGCTGGAGTCAGGGCTGCCTGAGCTCTGGTGTCATTGCTCCTCGGCACGCCCCGGGGCCCGAGTGGGTGTGCTGGGGTCCTGCGAGGTGGCGGGAAGAGCAAGAAGGAGAGTTCTGCTTCGTGCCCCTGCCCCAGCCCCTCACTGGCCATCGGACATTTGCAACCAGAGTCCTTGCCGCAGGGAGGGCAAAAATTCAGTTCAATTGTCCAACCTCTCCTTCTAGAAGGAGGGCAGTTTTAGGGGCCCACAAGAAAAATTCTGACCCCTGTTGGGTCAGTCATGTTCCAAATAACTTCTTTAAATTTTTTAATGTCTTTATGATTATGAGGTAGTTCCACAGTTTGAAGATAATTGTACTTGATTTTCATAACAATGCAGTTAAGATCCTTATTATCATGGCTACCCTGCAGATGAGGAAGCCTAGAATCTAGAATTTAAGTGCCTTTCTCAAAGTCCCACCAGTGCCAGCCCAGGGCTCCGGATGCCCTGATCCACCTCTTCCTGACCCCAGGAGACTGATGGAGCTCACGGACCTGGAATGGGGTTTGGCAGGTAGCAGACATCATAAATGCTTGGGAAGGAAACATCCTTTACATTGAAGAGAAAGAAAGACGAAACAGAAATTCAATATACTGACCCATTTATTTTCCCATTTCTTCCTGAAAAAAGCAAATGAAGCCTTTACTATAAATCTGACATGAACACACCATTTTCTTTCTTTTATCAAGGAAGAGGTGTATTGTCAAGGTTTGTTGAAGAAATGCTTCCACATGAATTTGAGAAACAAGACAGAGGATCATAGGGGAAGGGAGGGAAAAATGAAACAAGAGGAAACCAGAGACGGAGACAAACCATAAGAGACTCTTAATCTCAGGAAAAAAACTTGAGGGTTGCTGGAGTGGAGGGGGGTGGGAGGGATGGGGGTGGCTGGGTGATGGACATTGGGGAGGGTATGTGCTATGGTGAGCACTGTGAATTGTGTAAGACTGATGAATCACAGACCTGTACCTCTGAAACAAATAATACATTATATGTTAATTAAAAATATTTAAAAAAAAATGCTTCCACAAGAAGCTGGGTTCAATATCTTATGTCTGATATGCATCTGTTTAAAATTTTCTGTATTGCAAAGGGGGCTTTTATTTTAAAGATTTTCTTTATTTATTTGACAGAGAGAGACACAACGAGAGAGGGAACACAAGCAGGGGGAATGGGAGAGGGAGAAGCAGGCCTACCACCAAGCAGGGAGCCGGAGGGAGCCGGAGGTGGGGCTCGATCCCAGGACCCTGGGATCACGACCTGAGCTGTAGGCAGACGCTTAATCACTGAGCCACCCAGGCGCCCTGCAAAGGGGGCTTTTATTGATTGATTTGTAATGCTTCCTCTGTCCCAGGGAGCTATGAGTGAGGCAAACCCTTCCTCTAACCACAGATTTGACCACGGAAAAGCCCCGCCTGCCTCCATGTTGCCCCAGGCTTAGCTTTCAGTCAGGGTGGGCCTCAGGGACACCCCGGGGTCTTATTACAACTGAAGCCCGAGGCTTTCATGGAGTGCATCCCCTCCGCAGAGTGTCTTTGCTACGCTCTCTCCTCTGATGGCCCTGAGGTCAGCAGGTGGCCCAAACTGCTGCCCCACACACTGTGCTCCCCGCCCAGCCCTGCCACCTGGGCCCTGGCAATGGCAGGACTGAACCAGCCTGAGCTTGTTGTAGAAATGGAAAAGGAACCAAGGGCCCCCACAGCACCCCGAGCTACGGCATGATAAAGGCTTTCTTTTTCCTCTTGGTACCCTTGCACCACATTTCCAGTGTCCCTAGAACAGGAATCAGGGGCAGGGCTGGGCGTCCTCAGCTGTCTGGGCGTCACCCACCTGCTGTGGCGTTCCCTGAGCCTGTTGCTGCCTGCCAGGCCTGGTCCAGAAGGCAGATGGCCACATAAAAATAGTCAGGGAGCCCTTGAGGTGCCACTTCTCCAGCTGCTGTGTTGAGTGGAAGCCAGATGAGAGAGGGGACGAGGCATGGCGTCTGTTTGGAGTAGAGGCTGGTTGCTCAGTGTGTGTCTGGTGGGTGAGCGCGGGCTCTCCGTCCAGCAAGGATGAACGGGAAGGGCAGGGCCAGGGAGAAAATCTCAGCCTTGTGACCCCCAGCTCTCCCCGGAATAAACACCAGACAAAATAGGTCTTCCTGATTCATCAGTTTCCCATCAATTCTATTGCGGCTGAAACAGTTCTGTTGCATTATGCCAGTGTGGATACAGCCCCTGAGCTCCCGGCCCCGGTTTCTTGTTTAAGAAGCTAGGATCTGGGGTGCCTGGGTGGCTCAGTGGGTTAAGCATCTGCCTTTGGCTCAGGTCGTGATCCCAGGGTCCTGGGATCGAGCCCCGCATTGCGCTCCCTGCTCCACGGGAAGCCTGCTTTTCCCTCTCCCACTCTCCCTGCTTGTGTTCCCTCTCTTGCTGTGTCTCTCTCTGTCGGATAAATAAAATATTGAAAAAAAGAAGAAGAAGAAGCTAGGATCTAGACAATGGGGAGTTACTCATCAGCAGGTATAAAGTTTCAGTTGCGCAAGATGAGTAAGTTCTGGACATCTGTTATACAGCTTTGTATCTATAGCCAATAATGATATAGTGTATGCCTTGCTAAAAGGGTCGATCTCACCTTAAGTGCTCTTACAATAATACAATAAAATGTAAAAGGAGAAAAGAAAAAGCAGCAGCTAGAGTCTAAGAAGGAGCCAGAGGCCGGGACAAGTTCCTTGGTCTCTCTCAGACTTGGTTTCCTCATCTGTAGAAGAGGGAATAAGACCTATCTTGAAAAGGACAGCCTTAAATGAGATGCGTCGCATAAAGCGCGGTGCTCCCTGTTTTGGAGCACTGTGGACACAGCACCAGATGGCTTTGACCTCTCCTGATCATGTCAGTGAGCCGTATAGCATATATTGGGCAGTGAGTCACAGAAACACTTTAGGAGGGATAAGCTAAAGAACTGGGAGATGAGCCATCAGGGTGGGTGGAGAGCGCAGCTTTCTGAATCACCGGGCCAGCTGAGAAGCGAGGGAGGGGCTGCCACAAAATTCCTGAGGACAGCTGAGACAGCTGGGTGTGGTGGGCTCCAGTTTGAACTGAGCTGAACTCTCCAAATAGCTCTCTTACTACAGAGAATGAACGATCAGAACGTCACATTGCTTTGGTCTGCCACTTTCGGGTCCACAGACACCTTCATGCACGTTACGTCAGGTGCTGCCAGCAAGCCTGTCAGGTGGAAATACCCACCCCGCTCCAGAGCCCCGGAACAGTGGCCGCAGGGCTTGTCCCCCACCTTCCCAGATGCCCCACCACCTGCGGGAGCACTCAGGGCCACGGCCACGGCTAGATGAAAACTCAGTCCCTAGCTAGCCTGGTGGGGGAGAACTAGGCACAGAATTCAGGCAAGTAACTGGTTGATGATAATCAGTTGTAAACCATCTAATTCTGCTTTTAAAATGCCATCTGAATTTATATTTAATTCTGAGAAAACCCTGGTGGACACCTCTTCATTCAGGGGGGCATTACTAAATTTTTCTTCACTTCCCATCATAATATTCTGGGTCGTCCCTTCGAAGTCCTCTGCAACACAAACATTCTGACACTACTTTCGTCATTTACAAGCCTTCACTGGATGCATGTGCATAGTAAGCAGTGTGCTGAGTGCTGTGGACACCGTACAGGACGTCTAGTCTCTAACCCTGGGCCTTACAGTCTAGTCCAGGAGGTAAGACTTCTAAATGTGGGACATCTGGACAATGTGATCATGGAGACAGTGAGCACATGATACTGGGGTTGGGGCAGACACACAGGGCAGACTGGAAGTTCAATGCTGACTTACCTGTGTGGTGATGTCATGTCCAGCTGGAATCTGGACCAGAAAAAGAGCACATCAGCTTACTCCAACCTGGGGGTGGGGATGATGCACATTAACTTAATTTAATCCAAGCCACAGGGGTAAATAACAAAAACTCAAACAGTCCCATTTGTGCTTCTAGTTGTGAAAGTGTATCAGAACTTTAAACTATCTTTCCCCACACCATTTCGTTACAGAACAGCTCAGTGAGTGATAGGAAGGGCTGGAGGAAAGATGAACAGGTCCAAACATCCCAGATGCATCCTGGGGCAGGGAGGGGCCAGCTGACACATGTCAGCAGGAGGTGAGGGACGTGGCCTGAGGGGCTCTGACAGAGGCAACAGGCAGAAGTCCCAAAGGTGGCTGGAGCACATTGCCAGAGCTCCAAGCAGAAGATACAGGTAGAGGTGACACTGAGGGGGGCAGGAAAGAAGAAGGAGGGGCTGCATGGGGAGAGGCTCCAGCTCCTCAGGAGGCTGGGGTTGGGGGACCCAGAGCAATGTCCAAGTCACAGGGAGCTAAAGTTCCATGGCGGGAACCAAGGGTCAGGGTTCAGGGCAGCGATAAATTAAATTAAATCTTTTATCTAGGTATCAATGGACACAAGTTCAGGCCTATAAGATTTTTATCACACAAAAAATGTATCTTGGCACTCATACAAATGCTCATTGGATTCATCACGAACGAGATGCTAGCAACTTTGGTCAACCTCAGGAAGAGAAGGCGGAGGTCGCAGGACGTCCCCAGGAAACAGTTTCCTGGGATTTGGTGCACAGATCCACTCCTTGCCCGGAAGGTGAGAAGCATCATGCGGTCACCCTCACTGTTGGGGGCCTCTCAGCCTTGTTGGGAGACCCCGAATCTTATTAAAACGGGCCCTTTGGATCCTGGGCGTCTAGTCAATTATTCTCATGCTTTCCTCGGGGCGGGAGGGGGTCTGCTCTGCTTGTGCAAATAAGTCCCGTTGAAATTCTCCTTCCATGATGTTTCCCATATAACTGCCCTCTCTCACACACTTATGGGCAGAATCATTCATTCACTTCCAGCACTTTCTTTCTTAATATTAATATGAAAAAAATGTTTCCAAGTCATTTAATAGTAAGAATGGTGGCAATCGTTATTTATTCCCAGCATATCACATTATTATAATGGTTATTTTTTTTTATCTGCTGCAGAGGTTACTAAAACTTGATGACAATTATAATCAGTTGTAGCCCGGTGTCTGAGATGCAGTAAACACTCAACATTTGTTGAAGAAAAGAGTGAATAAATCAATGAATCCTCAACACTCAAAATAGTATCCTATGACAGAACCAGACAGAACAGACTGATGGGGCTCTGACCTTGGAGCTTTGATCCCCCAGGCCCTGCCAGGGAGCTGGTCCAGTGAGGCAGAGGGAGAGTCCTGGGACAGACAGCCCTGGGTGCTCCCCCAGGGACAGATCCGTCGGCAGAAATACATCGCCCATTTTCTCTATATTTCTCCTTTTCCTTTTAAGCATGGAGGTCTGTCTCTTCTTGTTTGTCCTCTTCTGGCCCTGTGCTTTCTCTTCCCTGACAGATAGAATTGAACACTTACTGTTATATCAACTAAGTAAATATTTGTTTGATGATAGGAATCTATCAAAATCCTAGAGGAGAGGGATGCCTGGGTGGCTCAGCTGGTTGAGCCTCTGCCTTTGGCTCAGTGTCCTGGGATCGAGTCCCGCATCGGGCTCCTTGCTCATTGGGGAGCCTGCTTCTCCCTCTGCCTGCTGTTCCCTCTGCCTGTGCTTCCCCTCTCTTTCTCCAATAAATACAGATAATTTTTTTTTTTAAATCCTAGAGGAGAACACAGGCAGCAACCTCTGTGACCTCAGCCACAGCAACTTCTAGCTAGACACATTTCCAAAGGCAAGGGAAGCAAGGACAAAAATGAACTATTGGGACTTCATCAAGATAAAAGCTTTCACACAGCAAAGGAAACAGTCAACAAAACCAAAAGACAACTGACAGAATGGGAGAAGATATTTGCAAATGACATATCAGATAAAGGGCTAGTATCCAAGATCTATAAAGAACTTACAAACTCAACACCCAAACAACAAATAATCCAGTAAAGAAATGGGCAGAAGACATAAACAGACATTTCTCCATAGAAGACATCCAAATGGCCAACAGACACATGAAAAAGTGCTCAACATCACTCAGCATCAGGGAAATCCAAATCAAAACCTCAGTGAGATACCACCTCACACCAGTCAGAATGGCTAAAATTAACAAGTCAGGAAACGACAGATGTTGGCGGGGATGCGGAGAAAGGGGAACCCTCCTACACTGTTGGCGGGAATGCAAGCTGGTGCAACCACTCTGGAAAACAGTATGGAGTTTCCTCAAACAGTTGAAAATAGAGCTACCCTATGACCCAGCAATTGCACTACTGGGTATTTACCCCAAAGATACAAAGGTAGTGACCCGAAGGGGCACCTGCACCCCAATGTTTATAGCAGCAATGTCCACAATAGCCAAACTGTGGAAAGAGCCCAGATGTCCATCGGCAGATGAATGGATAAAGAAGATGTGGTATATATATACAACAGAATATTACTCAGTGATCAAAAAACTGAAATCTTGCCATTTGCAACCACCTGGATGGAACTAGAGGGTATTATGCTAAGCAAAGTAAGCCAGTCAGAGAAAGCCAATTATCATATGATCTCACTCATACGTGGAACTTAGGAAACAAAACAGAGGATCATAGGGGAAGGGAGGGAAAAATAAAACAAGATGAAATCACTGAGGGAGACAAATCCTAAGAGACTCTTAATCACAGCAAACAGACTGAGGGTTGCTGGAGGGGAGGTTGGTGGGGGGATGGGGTAACTGGGTGATGGGCATTAAGGAGGGCATGTGATGTAATCAGCACTGGGTGTTATATGTAACTGATGAATCACTGACCTCTACCTCTGAAACTAATAATACACTATATGTTAATTAATTGGATTTAAATTTTAAAAATAAAGAAGGGGTAGTTAAGTATCTATTTCTCTCTCTCTCTCTCCACACACACAAACACAACCTTCCAAATCACACAATCACTTAAATTGATTTCTATCTCATTTAACATAAACTTAATTTTTTTTAATCACAATAGACATTTATTTAAAGTAATATATTTGCAGCTCAGATAGTTCTAAATTGTACACTTCAGGTTTATTCAACTTCTTAAAAATATTTGAGGGCAGCTGCAACCACAGAGTTCAACTCCATCATTATTTCTTTGCCCATTCTTCTCTCTCTTTTCTTTCCCGAATAACTTCTTTCAGATATGGTTCAAGGTAGAATTTATCCTCCTCATATTTTGTCCACTGCTCTTTAGGCAAGATCTGATGCCTCATGGTCAGGTCCAGTGCTCTCTTAATGCAAAACATCCTGTCATTATAAAGGTTCTCAGGAAGCCTTCTTATGGCCTCTTTCACATCATCATTCTCATATATTGTATCATCTCTCATTAACCCCAGTTTATTGAACCCTGCAGCATTGTAGTACCATTTTCGAATACCCTCCAGCCACCGGCTTGATGCTGCAACAGCAGGCCTGCTCGCCATTTTGACCGGAGGCTGCCAAACTTAATTTTTTATAGCCCTGTGACTGCAACAAAACGAAGTTGTCTTCTGCAGTTCTAGGACCGAGAGATTTATGCGTTTATATGGTACATACTTGAAGACAAACGTGCTGAGTGCTTGCTTTCAGGCAATCTCCTCATCAAACGAAAAGACCCTTTTACATACCCAATACACAATCTTCCCAAAAGTCCGGTAAGGCTGGAGTATAACCCACATTTCCCCATGTGGCAGAGCTGAAACTCAACCTATTCTGTCCAGTCTCAAAGCTCCACGAGGCACTAATCCCAGACACTTCATTTTATTAGCAGGAGAGTTTTGTGCTCTAACATTCCCAAGGAGAGAACACTGCATAAGTCACATAGAAAGGGACAGAGACCATCGACAGATGAATGGATAAAGAAGATGTGGTATATATACACAATGGAATATTATGCAGCCATCGAAAGGAATGAGATCTTGCCATTTGCAACAACGTGGATGGAACTGGAGGGTGTTATGCTGAGTGAAATAAGTCAATCAGAGAAAGACATGTATCATATGACCTCACTGATATGAGGAATTCTTAATCTCAGGAAACAAACTGAGGGTTGCTGGAGTGGTGGGGGGTGGGAGGGATGGGGTGGCTGGGTGATAGACATTGGGGAGGGTATGTGCTATGGTGAGCGCTGTGAATTGTGCAAGACTGTTGAATCACAGATCTGTACTTCTGAAACAAATAATGCAAGATATGTTAAGAAAAAAGAAAAAGAAGAAGATAGCAGGAGGGGAAGAATGAAGGGGAGTAAGTCGGAGGGGGAGACGAACCATGAGAGAGGATGGACTCTGAAAAACAAACTGAGGGTTCTAGAGGGGAGGGGGGTGGGGGGATGGGTTAGCCTGGTGATGGGTATTAAGGAGGGCACGTTCTGCATGGAGCACTGGGTGTTATGCACAAACAATGAATCATGGAACACTACATCAAGAACTAATGATGTAATGTATGGTGATTAACATAACAATAAAAAAATTAAAAAAAAAAGAAAGAAAGGGACAGAGAACCCTTTGCACATGAAACTGTCAGGGATAGTCCCTGTAGGACAGGTTCGAGTAAAGTGGCCCTGTGGGGTATATAGAGTTGTATTGGTGTGGCTCCCAACACATTAGCGCCGACTGCAGCTACAGCCGGTGGGAGTGTCCTTCCCTTTCTCAGTGACAGGCTGGGTCTCCCAGGGGCCACCTCCACCTCTCTAATCAGGGCAGGGCCCCATACCTTCATTCACACACACAACACCTCAAGCCCCTGCTAGCTGAGCCTCTAAGGTATTTCTTCTTTAAAGGAAAAGCACAGGCTTTGTCTCTCTCTCTCTCTCTCTCTCTCTCTCAAAGAATTCCAGGCATCCAGAGACCAGGAGAGGAGGTTTGGGGGTTGGTGAGGATCTCCCTCTTCACAAAGAGATTCTCATCCTCAGGTTGCAATGAGCTTTTTCCTGCACTGCTCCTCTCTGCCTCTCTTCTGGAAAGAGGACTGACAACACGGATTGAAATCCTTTTAATCATAGCGTTTGATCTAGTAATTCCACGTTTAGGAACCAATCTTTAATTCTAAATTCAAAAATATTTCATGCACAAAGATGTTTGTTGAAGCATTATTGACAGTAGTGGGAGTAGTGGAAAATTGGAAATTTAGCCAGATAGCCCAAAAGAAGGGAATAATTAGAATACTCTATAAAATGTTGTGCAGTCATTAAGGATGGTTTTTATGAAGCACCATGCAAACGCGAAGAAGCTACGCTTACAAAGTTCAGCGTTTCAAAGCCCACAGGCAACATGAACCTAATTAAGTTTAAGAAAACTAGTTGTAGGGGGCGCCTGTGTGGCTCTGCCGTTAAGCATCTGCCTTCGGCTGAGGTCATGGTCCCAGGGTCCTGGGATCAAGCCCCGCATCCGGCTCCCTGCTCGGCAGGAAGCCTGCTTCTCCGTCCCACTGCCCCTGCTTGTGTTCCCTCTCTCGCTGTCTCTCTCTCTGTCAGATAAATAAAATCTTGAAAGAAAAGAAAGAAGAAAGAAAGAAAGAAAAAGAAAGAAAGAAAGAAAGAAAGAAAGAAAGAAAGAAAGAAAGAAAGAAAGAAAGAAAAAGAAAGAAAAGAAAGAAAACTAGTTGTAGAATAAGACTATCAGGAAGGGTTGCTGGAAGGGAGGAGGGCAGGGCCTGGGCTAGGTGGGTGATGGGAATTAAGGAGGGCACTTGCTGTGATCAGCCCCAGCTGTTGTACTGTTGTACGGAGGTGATGAATCACTAAATTCTACCCTTGAAACTGATATTACAATATATGTTAACTAAAAAAAAAAAAAAAAAAAAGACTGTCAGGAAATGTGTCCAAATGTTAATTAATTAATTAATTAATTAATTAATTAATGGTGTTTGGGGGTTGGATTTTTGTTTTTTGTTTCCTTTTCAGTCTTTTCCAACTTTTGTGAAGCTTGTCTATTACTACCCCACCCCTTTTTAAAACTATGGTTTTAAAAAAGTGCACACCATAAAATGTGCCATCTTAACTATTTTTAAGCATACAATTCAGTAGCATTCAGTATATTCATAGTGTGCAACAGATCTCTGGAATTTTCATCTAGCAAAACTCATCTACCAGTTTTTAATGGGAAAATAATATAAAGATATTTTTAAAAATATAAACTGCCCAAGGCTAGCCCTGAACATTGTCCTGCTTCAGCTGGTTTTATTTATTTATTTATTTGTTTATTTTTTTAAGATTTTATTTATTTATTTGAGAGAGAATGAGATAGAGAGAGAGAGCATGGGGGGGAGGGTCAGAGGGAGAAGCAGACTCCCTGCCGAGCAGGGAGCCCGACGCGGGGACTAGATCCCAGGACTCCAGGATCATGACTTGAGCCAAAGGCAGTTGCTTAACCAACTGAGCCACCCAGGAGCCCCAGCTGGTTTTTAAAAATGTCGGGATGAAGACGCCTTTCCTTCCTTCCCCTGGCCTCCAGCCTATGTCACCTGGCAGGGACATTCCAGAGCCCCTTCTCCCTGGGCAGCCCCCCATCAGGGCCTCTGCTCCTCCCAGCACTTCTCTCCCCTCCTCCACAGCACCTGGGTGTGCTGGGGCCTCAGCCCCTTACCCCGCACACCCTGCAGTGTGTGTGCTCAAGATAAGGGGCCAGGGTGAGGGAGAATGAGGGGGGAAGATCCCCTGAGTATGGCCTAGGGGTGCTGGGGGAGCCCTGGATGTTTGGGCTCACGGTCTTTGCATCTAGTCACTCAACCCCCTCATGTCACATCAGGGATCAGATCCCAGGATTCTGTCACCTCACACAGAGCCCTTCCTTCTAGAACAGACTGAAGACTGTTATATTATGCACAGTATCAGAGAAAATGGTCAGTGTTGGAGCTGATTCCATGACTGGGAAAATACAAACAAACTTAGGTTGGGCTGGGTAAAGCCATCTGACTACAGCAAGACATGCTGCCATTTTTGCCAAATTGCCACACAACATGGCAACAATTCCATTACCAGCAGGGAGATGTCAGGTCGTATTTGTTATAAAGCTGATCTGATATGCTCAGTTCTGGGCATGAATGTTTATTCTTCATTGTGTACTTTATGGATATATGCTCACTACTTTTTTTTCTTTTAAGATTTTATTTATTCATTTGAGAGAGAGAGAGAAAAAAAACAGGGGGAGAGGCAGAGGGAGAGGGAGAAACAGGCTCCCCACCGAGCTGGGAGCCTGACCTGGGGCTCAATCCCAAGACCCAGAGATCATGACCTGAGCCGAAGGCAGATGCCCAACCATCTGAACCACCCCGGCGCCCCTGCTCACTACTTTCTTAGAAAGAGTTGAAATGGGACAAGGAGGTCACATTTTAGATCAGCTGGCTCTTCTTTGATTTAAGTTAGGAGACGTGTTGATCAGTCACAGGATATGAGAGCTGCAAGGGAATTTTAAGATCATCTGCTCTTACTCTGGCTGATGAGGAAATGGATTTTATCTAAACCTAGAACCTCCAGGATGCAGGGTTAAGAGGCACAGTTAACTTTCCGATTCATTTCCCATGTAGACCAGGACAGGCTCCCTGTGGCACTGCAGGGAATAAACCATTCCATGAAAACAAAGATAGTCTCTAATCACACATCCCAAACCAGTCTCGTCTAGCAAAGGTCTATAAAACGGGATCTTTATTTTTGTTCCCAACCCAAAACTAAAGGGGCTGGAGGAGGACCATGGGTGGGTGTGCGCCACCATGTCACCTGACCATCACTACTGCCCAGATGAACCCAATCATGGAAACTCCAAGTGGGTGGGCTGGGGGCTGCGTGCGTGAGTGCACGTGTCCGTGTGAGAGCTGGGCCCAGCGTCCTCAGTTCTTTGGCGTTTGGCTTACCCAACCGCCTACCCTTGTGAGGCAGCGTCAGCAGCTTCCTGGCTCCCAAACCAGCACGGCTCCTCGCACACATGGCTGTTCAGTCAATGTTGGTGAGGTGGGCTCAGAGCCAAAGGAGCTGTGCCCCCAACTACCCAGCCAACATCGCAGGGGCCCCCCAGAGCTCTAGAGTGAATGGGGATTCGCCTCTTCCTTCTCTCTTCACACTTGACTCAGAAGGGATGAGAGAGACGGTGCCCTATTTTCAAAGTCCTCCAGCCTTTGGAAGCCCTTCCTGGAGGCCCTCTTCCTCTCTTTGAGGCCCTATTTCTCAGCCACGTGGAACTTTGTGCTCAACCATCCCACCTCTGTGCCCGGGGAAGGGCGAACAGCCACCACCATACTCTTGGTGGCAGCTTTTTACCAACAGAAACTGAGACTGTGGCCAGGCTATCTGTGTCCTCCATTCACTGGGCTCCTTCGTGCACGGGTCCTTCCCTGCCACCATCCCTTCATTTGAGAAGTTTACAAACCTGTAGGAAAGTTGAAAGGATAATACAGTAATCAAATGAACGCCTATCTAGATGTACCTATTACTAACATGTTGCCACAGACAATATGGTTCCTGCCTTGGGCTGCACCGCTCCCCGCAAGGCTGCTGAGATGTGCCCACCCCACTACTTCAGCAGCCAAGATGGGAGAATGCCCCCCACGAACATCCCAACCTGCTTCCAGGGCCCCCTCATGGTGGACAGTGACACTGATGTGCAAAAAGTGGTGTCCCAGGGATAGCTGTGTGGGGGCTGGGGGGTCTGGGGTGTTCACAGGAGCCCAGGAGGCCCTTCCCAGTGTGGGATGGAGTTGGAGGGGGAGAGACGGGGGCAAGCTGAGAGTTGGGGCTGGAGGCTGGAGGCCAGCACCCCCCTCCCCCACTCCTGATGCAAATCCCCAAGGCATCTGAGAATCCTACACTGGAACCGACTTTCCAGACAGGAAAAGGCAGGAGGACAGAATGCACCCTTTAAAACTTTTGTTTTTGATTTGTAACTTGGTACATCCTTAGACACAGGTGTCCTTTTGCTCCAGCCCCATCGTTGTGAGGGCCTTAGCCATGGGCTGGAATCCTGTCACCCACTTGCCAGCAAGGTGATGCCCACTCTGAGCGTCCGTTTTCTCATCTGCAGTAACATCTGTAACTGTTGTGATGTTGTGATGAGTCCATAAGTTGTGATGATTCCATAAGTTCTGTGGAAAAGCATGAGGCAATGAGCCCAAGTCACCTTAGTTACCCGCCCTCGTGATGTGGATGGTAGGCTGGGGTGCCGGTCAACAGGGAGTGTCCATTAGAAATTCTAATAAATCAACTTTCCGCCATCGATTCCCGGTGATGGGGGTGTTCCTGAAGCCACCGACACCTGCTTTCTTATTCCATCAAATATCTCGGATTCAAATTCCCACCCAAGGACTAGCATCGAAAACGTGGTTATTTCCACAAACCACCAAAGCTTCTGAAGTAGACACTTTTCTTTAAGCTACATAGTGGCTTGATTCCGCAGCGGCTGTGTGACCAGAGCTGAGCAAAGTCTCTCCCAGGAACCCGAGGCCCTCCATTCCCCCAGCTCCCTACACTAGACTCAGTACCAGGAGACGGAAAAAGGGAGCGTTTACTTGGAGTCAGTAATTAAATTGAGCAATGGCCACAAACAGCCTAAATAAGGGTGCTGGCTACTCAGAAGAGGACAGCCGGGTCACCTCTGGTTGAAAGTTTGACGACAGAGTGTGCGCAAAGCTGTGGCCCCTCACCTGCTTCCTGGCATTGCAGAAGGTGTGGGAGGGGACCAGGGCCAGGGACCCAGTTTAAAGAAATTAATCCTTAAAATTGGAAACATTTGGAAAACTCCAAAAGAAAAAAATATTTCAAGTTCTCTACCTCTTTCCAACCACACAGTCGTGAGGACTTTCCCAAAGTTTTCATATACCTAAAAAGAAACTACCGGTGCAGATTACAGAGCATTGTCCCTTCCTCTTTGTGTGGCATTTCCATTTGGCCTGGGAGGGGGTGCAGTCCGGGCTTTCCAGAGTCTCCCCACCTAAAGTGCTCACACAGGGAAACTCATGCAAAAGTCTCTGGTGGATGTACATTCCAACCGAAGGTGCCACAGAATCAGAGCCCCTAGGATAATCCTTTCATTTTACACATGAATAACCCGAAGCCCAGAGAATTGGAGTGAACACAAAGCTAACTGGAAACAGAACCGGAATTGAAATCCAAGTGACCCTGACTCACCACCCAGTGGTCATTCCTTTCAACCACACAACACCGCCAGGAAGAGGGACTATTGCTCCCTGAGGGCCTAACTCATGCCCAGAAGTAACTCTGATTACCCCTGGCATACATTAAGTATCTGCCGCATGAGTACATGAGTGAGTGAGCCCTCCCAGCTAGAAGCTTCGGTAGGAGTGAACCGGAGAGAGTTCTAGGTGTGTGGGTGTCCGTGGTGAGTATGGCTATGTAGAGGGCTGGCCGCAGAGGGGCCCAGGCTGAGTGGGGCAAACAGAGGGGGTGGGGGCAGAATGAGGGCAACTGAGCAGGGAGGGGTAAGGGGCCCGAGCCCAGAGGGCCGGGATGCCAGCCCCTAAAGTGAAGGCTGTGTTACCTGCTAGAGGGTGTGAAGGGAACAGGTGCCCAGGAGGGACCGCCCAGCAAACACCGGGAAACGGGAGGTTTGGAGTTCAAAGAGAGGTCAGGGCTGCACCATGTTATAAAAGAAATATGGAGCCATGCTTTGCATCCGCAGAGTTGTCTTCAAGTCCCCAGAGAGGGCTGCGTTCAATCTTCGGCATCGGCCTGCCTTTCTGCGGCCCCTTGAGGATGGAGACGTGTCCGATTAAACTTTCCCTCTGGCGTCCTCACTCCTCCAGCACTGCACTTACGTAAAGAAGAGGCACACAGGCACACCTCCCTCCGAACAGCAAAAGGGAGTCCCCGGCACCCAGGAGTAGGGAAGGTGAGGGAACCGGCAGAGGTAGAATCCAGCCCTCTGCGCCCTCCTGGGGCCGAAGAGCTTTTTCATCGCTGACTCCCAATGGAGAGGCTGCGTAGACAACTGTGCAGGGGGTGTGCGTGCGTGTGTGTGTGTGTGTGCGCGTGTTCATGGTCAGATGCCGCCAGGTATTCACTCTAACTAAACCCCACTACAAACGTTTCGGAGCGGTACCTGTATTTCGAGACGGACAGGCAGGAAAGCAAGGACCTAAGAACCAGGTTCAGGGGGGAGGACGAGAGTCAGAGTCACGCTGGAACACTCCACTTTCGTGTCCCAAAGCCTGTCTCCTCGCTGTGTTTGACCCCGCGGCGCGGGCGGGGAGCCGGGGGCGGGGGGGTGGACCGTGCGCACCCACAGCTGCAGAGCGCCCCGGCCTGGCCCAGCCAGGCCCGCGCGGCCCCGGAACCCACCCCGGGCGGCTCCGGGTGGGACCCCGCCTGCCCAGGACGGCTCAGCGGGAACGGTCTCCCTCCGGGGGGGGTCAGCAACGGGGGGGGGGGGGCGGCAAAATGAGGGCGGGGAGGGGCAGAAGCCGCGTCCTTCCCGCCCGCCTCCCCACTTTTAAAGTCTCCAACGTCTCCCCCTATCTCCGCCCCCAAACCCGCTTCAGTAGGCGCATTTCCCGGCCTGACTTCCCCAGCAGGGGGTCCTCAGTTCCCCTTTCTGTTCTCCCTCCTGGGACAGCACCGCGTGGAAGCGGCCCGGGGAAGATCGCCCAGGGGGAGGCGAGCCGAGGTGGGGCGCCGGCAGCAGGGTGGCGGGGGAGGGAGGCCTGGGGGGCGAGGAGGGAGGCCCAAGGCCAGCCTGGACGGGAGGAGGCGCGGCCCGGGAGGGCGAGGCCCGGGGGTGGGGGCTCTGCGGGCGCTGGGGGGAGCGGGGGCGGCGCTCGGTCCGCGGGGGCGGAGGGGGCGCGGCCGGGGAGGGCGAGGCCCGCGGCCATTGGTCGGGGCAGCCCGGATGGGGGGTGGAGAGCAGACGGAGGGTCGAGTCCCGGGGAGCGCGCCGGGGGCCCGCAGTCGCAGCGGCGGTCCGAAGAGCCAGTTCCCGGAGCGTAGAGCCGGCGCCCGCCATGAGGGAGATCGTGCACATCCAGGCGGGCCAGTGCGGGAACCAGATCGGCACCAAGGTGGGCCGGGCACTGGGCTCCCTGCGGGTGGGCAGCTGGCAGGCCTGGGGTGTCGGGGCTCGACCCCTCGGTGCGGGCGCCCTGGTGCGCACCCTCGGTGCGCCTCGGTCCTCGGAGCCCAGCCCTGCCCTGCGCGGCACTCGGGAAGTGCTTCGAGGAGTGGCGCGGCCGAGGAGGGGGCGTCACAGCCAGGGACCCCCTGCCCCTCACCCCTATCCCCACCCCAGCTGGGAGCGGCCACCGGCGGCTCAGGCGCGCCTGGAATTCGGCAGCCGGGCCCAGCGCACCCCGCCCCGCCGGGCCAGCCCTGGCGTGAGCCGCGGGGGAGGGCGCCCTAGGCTTCGGGTTCTGACCGTCTGTTCCCCCGCCTCGCCCTGCCCAAGTTTTGGGAAGTGATCAGCGATGAACACGGTATCGACCCAGCCGGAGGCTACGTGGGTGACTCGGCGCTGCAACTGGAGAGAATCAACGTCTACTACAATGAGTCATCCTGTGAGTAGCGCGGCGCCGCCGGGACTCCGCCCTTCCCCGTCGGACCCCGCCGTCCCCCTCCCAAACCCTCGGCCATCCCCGCCCGGACCCTGCCATCTCCTCCTCAGATCCTGGCCACCGCCATCTGGGGCCCTAGCCATCCCGTCCCGGACCATCGGCCACCCCCAAATGAACCCCGGCCATCCCTCTCCCGGACCCGGCCTTACCCCTCTGGGACCCCGGCCTTCCTCCTCCGGGACCCGGGCCTTCCCGGGTCTTCTCCGACCGATCCAAGGTTGGCGCTCAGGATGCCGCCCTTGCGCTAGGGTAGTTTGCCCTCGGAAATTTTCCCGGGATATAGCAGGATGCCCGACTCCTTCCTCGCTTCCCCTGGGGCGGGAAATCCGCCGTCAGTTTCTTTCAAACAGCCGAATTTGGCCTATCACGGGGTCTGAACTCTTGAACTAGACAACCCGTTAGTGTTGTGAAATCCCTTACTGGGTCACGTCCGACTTTTTCTTTTGTTTTGTTTTTCAGTTTAAAATGGATCTCTTAATGGAGATTCTTGGCTAAAAATTTGAAAAACACCCAGTTAAATGACTTCTCTGACTTTTTACCGACCTCCAAAAGCACTCTATGCTCCCTGGAAGCTGAAACTACAGACAATTCTGGATAATTGGTGGAGTTCAGTACAAATTCCAAGCTGTGGTTTATCCAGGTTTGGGAATAATATCACCTCTGCCCTGCATACCTACATATATATTGTGGCTACGTGTATACATTATTTGTTACAGTTTTTATTATAAAAGTGATAGGTGCCCTTCACAAAACAACAAAAAACTAAGACTTTGAAAGAACACCCAGAAAATGACAGATGCTACCCTTCCACATGCATGACATATATCCCCAGAAAGAATTAATCTGGTTTTTGGAGTCACTTGCTGTTTGTCCACACAAGAGTTGTGAAGAGCAGGATACTGGGTTTTATTCATTGGGTTTTATTCCCAATCACTGGGTTTTATTCATTCAGCAGCTAGAAGAAAAAGTCTGGACAAGCAGGGCATAGAATATGAAATTTCTAGATAGCACTAAAGAAAATTCCAGTTATACATTGCACCTCCTGTTAACCTTTAGGTCCAGCTTGTGAACTTCCTTTGCTCAGTCTGGCTGTGTGTGTGTAGACGGACAGGAGTTGTAGGGCAGATCCTGTGTGCAATCTTATTAACCCCATCCTCACTGGGGAACAAGTTCCTGCCCACGAGGCATGAGAATGTGCTTGCTAACAAAAGGGCTACACAGCATCACTGGTTCATAAATGAGAGTGGATCCTGGCCACCCCCCTCTGGGGCCCTAGGAAACAGCCTGGAGCCCAGAAACAGCCCATGGGATCGTACCCTTAACGAGGTGCTCAGGCTATAGCTTGGATTCATGTATGCGTGTGCATGAGGCAAGTGCCAAAAAGTGGAAAGAATGTAGAGCAACACAGCAATTAGCTGCAACAGTTACAGTTTATTTCCGTGGAGCTAAAGAAGTAAAACTTCCCAACAGGAAAGAGGTGTCAGGGTGAAGTGGAAAATACAGAAGGCAGGAAGTCAGGAGACCTGATTTCTCATCCTGCTTGTTCCTGGCGCTTCCTCTGCCCATTCATGCTTGAGCTGGTTTCCTCATCGGAACAACTTCAGCTGGAACTGTGCTTCCCCCAGGCCCCTCCCAGGGCTGAGGTTCTGGGGTCCTAAGAAAGCCAGGCCTGTTTCTGAAGAAACCCTGCTTCCTACCCATCCAGGCAGCTGTGCTGGGGGGACTCGCTATGGGACAGTCCATGACTCTGGCGACCAGAAAGTGACGCTTGGGGGTGGGCTTTGTTCTCTTCCAGCTCAGAAATACGTGCCCAGGGCTGCCCTGGTGGACTTGGAGCCGGGCACCATGGACAGTGTGCGGTCTGGGCCTTTCGGGCACCTCTTTCGGCCGGACAACTTCATCTTCGGTGGGTTCCATCTCTCCTGCTTCCTTCTGCCTCTTTCTGTTTTTTTTTTTTTTTCACACATCAAACTATTTGATGTGCAAGATTAAAAGATAAAAGCTTAGGATGGAAATTAGCAGTCTCCAGTGTCATGACAGGGTGCTGCCACTTTTAGTTCTTGACTTTTCTTTAGGAAAGTAATCTCTGTCTCTCTAAATGAAATGCTTGTATTGATAGTTCTTGGTTTAACAAATTTTTTAGACATTAACTTCTTTCTTGCCCTTATAAATTATCATTAATATGATGATAATCATTTGTTTTGGTTCCTATGTGGCTCATCTTTTAATTGCAGTGTGTTTATATTTCTCTTTCATTACCTATAGAAAGTTATTTTGCCTTTTTCCCAAAGGCTGGCACTATGTGAATTTTGTTTTGTTAGAACTGGGCAAATCCTTCCCTCCCTTCTTCCACCTAAGACATGATAAAGCACCCGTCCATCTGCACACTCCCAAAGAAAATTATGTAATGTTAAATGAAGCAGCACCATTAGTACTACCAGCCTCCATCACCCTGTAGCCATGGTTTTTAGAGTCAAGGTTACTTGCCAAAATACTCAAAGAAGGAATATTCAAAACATGCAAGAAGAGACAGAATCCTGAAAGATTTTACTGGTACATGAACTGATGACTCTGTAGTAGAGTCAGGCAGTGACCTGTTATAAAGGGAACTCAGCAAGATGAACGTTCACAAAGTTTATGAATCCTCTGGGTATCGGCCCCCTCCCCATCACTCTGACAACTTACACAACCAACAGGACAGGCAAAGTTTCTGATAATAACTTGTTCAAGGGTTGGGCCATAATTGGCCCCAAGCAAAGCCTCTTCTGGACTCTGCTGCCCAATGTGGTAGCCACTAGCCACATGTGGCTATTTAAAGTTAATAGAAATTACATAAAATCAATTCACTTCCTCAGTTGTACTAGCTGCATTTCAGGGGCTCAATAATTAAATGTGGCGAGCGGCACCATATTGGACATATGGAACAGTTCCTTCATTGCAGCAAGTTCTATTGGAGAGTAGTGCTCAAAACCTTAATAGAGATACTCCACTAAATAAGGGGAATGAAAAGAGAAAACAGAAAGGCACTACACAAACCCATGGCCATTCATAACCACTTCTACCTTAGGAGCCAAGGTAGAGCCTACAGGATATGTGGCAGATTTGAAGGTGTTCCATTCGACAATCGTATTTTAATGTTAGATACCACACCTTCACTTATATTCTTTCTCAGAAATTACTAATGTAATTGAGTAAGAAATATGCCTAGAGAGAAAAATGTTACTTATCAACAAAAGTACCTCAATCAACAACAAGCACAATTTCCATGCCCATAAAAGGTAAAGTGTCTTACAAGGAAATGAGAGGCTCTTAAGGCCGATTCATGGCTTAAAGTTACTGTGGTATAGAAATTAAATCTATCAAAGATCTGCTTTCCAACCCCTTCCTCAAAAGGCACCATGTGGAGATGATTTCATTGAGAGTAACAGATAACCCTCTGCTATTTAAACCCTATGTATCTAGAGTATCTCCTACACAGTAAGTGCTTGATAAATATTAGCAACATCTTAAGAATGCAAGGATGGTTCAACTTTGAGAAGTCAGCTAATAGGGGCACCTGGGTGGCTCAGTCGGTTGGGTGTCTGCCTTTGGCTCAGGTCATGATCCCGGGGTCCTGGGATCGAGGCCGGCGTTGGACTCTTTGCTCAGCAAGGAACCTGCTTCTCCCTCTCCCTGCCGCTCCCCCTGCTTGTACTCTCTCTCTCTTTCTGACAAATAAATAAATAAATAAATAAATAAAATCTTAAAAAAGAGAGAGAGAGAAGTCAGCTAATAGATTAAGAGTGACAACATCTTAATAGGTGCCCCAAAATATTTGATAAAATTCAGTATGTGTTCCTGACTTGTAGAGGACAAAAACCCTATATGCAAGCTGGAAGTAGAAAAGATACTTCCTCTGTTTAAGAATTATCTACCAAATCCATCGCAACGTCACACTCACTGGTGAAACATCAGAAGTATTCCAAAGCAAAGTCACGTATGAGAAAGAGATGTCCATTGTCTCTACTATTCCATGTTTTGAAGGTTCTAGCCAGTGCACGAAGACCAGAGAAAGAAAAGAGATACAGATCATTTAAAGGAAAAGACAAAATTGTTATTTGAAGGTGGAATGATTCTCTTGGATTTTCCAGATAGCCTGTCCAATGACCAGTGATTGGCACTTATAAGACCTCAATAAGGCAGTCAGACACATGATAAAGACTCAGACGTTATTGCTATGGGGTGACCAACTGTCCTGATTTGCCTGGGACTGGGGGGTTTCTCAGGACACTACCTGCTCAGTGTTGAAACTGGTAAAGTCCCAGGCAAACTGGGACAAATTGATCTTAAAAGTAATAATCAATTATAAAATATAATGGGAAAGTATCCTATTCACAATAGCAATGAAAGTTATAAATACCTAGGGACAAAATTTACTAGTAATTGGGAATGAGGAGGAGACATTAAAACAAGACATTTTTCTTCCAACAGACAGGGTACTTTAAAAACCAACAGCTAGCACTGGTGAGCTTGCTTGGGAGACTGAGTTGTAAGCATTGTCAGAGAACAGCTTAATGGATTCAGCAAATCTGGAATTTTGATTCAGCAGTTTCAGTTCAAGGAATTTGTCCTGAAGAAATGTTCGCACATGCATTATGGACATTGCATACTGGTCTCTAGAAGAGCTGAACCCCTTTGCCCGCCCCTCCCGCCCCCTTGCCCTTACTACCGGCTGGTGTCAGTCTCTGTCAGTTCAGCAGACTGCTCCCTCAGCTCCTGTGGTGGAGACTTGACTGGGCGACTATTCATATTCTGTATGCCCAGAAGGAAAAAAGGACAACTCCCCTGTGGCACTGATCTTGACACAAATCAATGCCACCTTGCTCTTTCTCTTACTCAGTGGGTATAGATTCTTCTTCCCTTTTTTTTTTTTTTTGTAAGATTTTATTTGACAGAGAGAGACACAGCGAGAGAGGGAACCCAAGCAGGGGGAGAGGGGGAAGGAGAAGCAGGCCTCCGTGGAGCAGGGAGCCCGATGCGGGCCTCAATCCCAGGACCCTGGGATCATGACCTGAGCTGAAGGCAGACGCTGAACTACTGAGCCACCCAGGCGCCCCTAAGCGGGTATAGATCCTTAGCAGCTGTAGACCCTTCTTGCCTGCACCACCTCACTGGGTTACTGAGTTCGGGTCACCAAAAAGAGAGATCAGTGAATGGGGAGAAGGGAGACTTGGCCGCTAATTTCAGCTCTGCTACCTCTGGGGTTATCAGTTCCCTTCCCGGGGCTCCTTCAGCTTGAAGGTCTGAGGAATGAAGGGCCCTCAAGCATCCAGGCCTCTGTAAGAATCTGAGGGAAGCAACGGCCTGTCTCCCCAACGTGCACAGAAATATACTTCCACATAGAATTCTGCTCAGTTTCTTCCCTTGGAGGTTTTTGTTTTTGTTTTGTTTTGTTTTTAAGATTTTAATTATT